AAAAGTACTTTAAACTGTATAAATAATGTAAAATTAAATAGACTTAAACAGCCAATCATACGAAAGTCTTCCTATGGTTCTTAGCCGGTAGCAATTTCCACCAAATTTACACATGGCCAAATCATATGATCACATGACACAGATCAGTATCACCTATAATAGATATAATCCCAAATTTTAAAAACTAAGAATCTTATTAATGTTATACTTGTTTATAAATTTTTATTATGTTGGTTAATTGTGATTTTAGATTATTGCAATATTATTCAAGATACCTGTCATCAGATTAAAAGGTTGTAAAGAATCAAAGAGAAATAATAAAAAGTTTGCATTTAAATATTTGGGCAATATATTATAACGACAGAATGAATTATCGTTATATCAATCAATTACAGTATTAAATTTAGAACCAATTTAAGTTGCTTTTAAATTTCGTATCAACTTGGATTACATTTCAACCTAAGTAGATTCTAAATCTACAAAAATTATGAGTTATTATAAATATTATCATGTGACCTGACCTGAATTTGGAATGAACGATTGGCCAAAGTTTGGGATGCTGACAAAGTTTAGGATTGTGGAAATTTGGGATTTAGTTAACGTTTGATGGTTTCCTGAAGGTGAATAGGAATTTCACGAGTATTTCTTAAGTACCTTTCAATGATTCTAGGTCTTGCGTTGAATTTTTCCGGTTCGTTTTCAATAATGAAAATTAATTGTGCCATGACATGAAATAGTTTTCCACGTTTTGTATCCATGATTTGCGCAACAACTTTGTAAGTTTCATAAGTTCTATGCAAAAAATCTGACATCGTACTGCTGATTGCCCAAAGTTTTTCTAAACAAACAAGTAAACTAAATGTGAAATTTCGTTCTCATATTATTCTCAGATTATCGTTGAATTATATCCTTACCCGCTGGAGTTAATGAAATCCCGAATTGAACGCGACTAAAAATTTCTCGTTCTTGCATTTGTGAGAGATCATAATATTCAACTATTGTAATTGGAAAAAATTTTTTCACAAACATGTATATGTGCGTAAATTTCGTAAGAATTTATATACAGTATACTATATTATATACATACTACAAACAATTTCTGAACATTCAAACAACTCTCTTTCAGTGTCGGATATTGATTTTGCTCCTTTATGATTCGAGAAGTAACGTTTCGAAACAGCTTTTTGGGAAGGCGACAAATGAGGTATTTCATTTTTCATGAATCTATCATATATAATAAACAATATGACTATTAGAAATGAACATGACCACCAAAAAAAGAATGGCTGTTGAGCTATATTAACCTATGAATTGATGTTAATCTTTGCTTTCCATCGATACATATTCGCGTCCAACGATTTTCATCTATCTTCTTGCATGAAAAAATAACTGGAGGAATGTAATAATTCTTGAGGATAGAATCGATCAAGTGGGATTGCTTGATATCTAGCGTTTTTAATTATAAACTGTTACAACGATTGCTCAAAGCTATATCAGACGATTAAAATCAAATTCTACCTTTCCATACAACATCTTTGAAAAAAAAGTAATAATAACTGTTAGTCTTTTTACTACAGCTTTTTAATTGTTCCAAGAAAATAAAATCAAAATACCTCGTTGAAATTCAGGACTAACATTTATCATTCCCTTTTCTATCCAATCATGTAATTTGTACAAAGTATGGGAAACATGTCTAGGTTTGCTTAGTATGTCTGCCATTATTAAAAGGCGAATATAACAGAAAGAAATTTTTAAGAAATTTTTGACGATTTTAGAAGTGCAAGATTGGTTTTTATGAGATCTGTTTAAGCAAAATCAATCGTTTGATCGATACAATAAATTAAAAATGTAAATGATGATAATGTGTCATTATACTCTTTGTATTCGAATGACCTGGTGTTTTTTTTTTATGCAATGTGCTATGTTCTCACCTGCGATAAATTATAACATTCTTAGTATTATAAAGTGCAATCGAGTACATAATTACGTCTGCACCACTAGACAACTTTTTTATCTGCAAAATCATCTTATAAATATATAGTGTACTATTATCATTATGTTACGGTAATTAAAAAATTGTCTTGAAAACTGTATATTTGGATATTAACAAATGAATCATTGGATAATTATTTTATGCGGCGGCTAATCCTAAATTTAATAACGATTTAGTGATTGTATTCAATTACAATAACGGAACACCATACTGTATTTTAATGTAATTCTAAGCTATTATATAATTCTAAAGAATTAAAACATACTTTAATATGACAAATATATTTGCTTAAACAAGTTTATCGTTAGCCTAGTAGTTAGGTTGTTATAATCCAAGTTACTAGCTTTGGGTTTATAATTCATTCTGGCTAACAAAGCCTGAATTTAAATTAGTTATTATAGTGCAGGTCATTTTTCTCCTTTATTGGTTGATTAATTACGTTTGTAAAGACCGACCCCAAAAACACCAGAAATTTTCGTTAATGTAAATTTTTATACTTTCGTACTAATGTGATCAATATAAGTATCTTTAGTTTAACTTTCTATGGGTAAACAAATAGTAAAATTGCCAGTTTTTAGACTACTATCATATATAGTCAAACCTCTCTATAATCATACTCTTGGTTTTAAGAATTTGGTGTTTATAGAGAATTTGTGTTTATATAGAAATTATATTTTATAAGTGCTATATAAGTTGGTTTTAAAAATTTATATAATTATAAACAAATGAGATTATAGAAAAGATAACTATAAAGAGGTTAGACTATATTAAATTTTTAATTGTATATATAAATAATTTGTATAATAATATTTTTAGAATTTATCAAATATAAGTATTTTCTATGCTAATTAGAATTTAATAATTTATATAGTAAAATTACTTGAGAAAATTTTTGTTAGAATGTAAAAGGTATATTAATTTTTAAAAAACAAGTAATTTTTTTTTAATTTTTTAAAAACTAATATTTGTTTTAAATTTTCTAATTGTGTTATATATTATATATAAAATATAAATTACTTTAGTAAATTTATTATAAAAATAAAAAATCTACTATATAAAATTAATAATTTGCTTTAAAGTTTTATATTAACTGATTTAGTTTGATTCTAAAATTAATTAATTATAATTAAGAATTATTTGTTATTAAAATTTATTATAAAAAAAATTTTTATAAAAATAGTTTTTGAACTTATTTTGAATCTATAATTAAATATATAAAATATTGCAATATTTATATATTTAATTATTAGTTAAAAATAAATTAAAAAGCTATTTTTTTAAAAAAATTGTTTTTAAATTTGCTTCTACCTATTAGGGTAGTGACAGATATTATGTAATATCCTAGGGGGTAGCTAAAAATAATATTACATATAGATATTTCATATATGATCATATATGATGTAAGGAGGAGAAGGAGTACCCCTCTGATAAAATGATATTACATAATATATGTCACAACCCTTATACAACTAATTAAATAACAACAAACTAATTATTCACTATTTAAAAATTTTAAATACTTCAATAACTAGTGATAATACTTTTTTTATAGTATAAAATAGTTATTTTTTAATATTTATTGCTTACTTATCTTATATAGAGGCTAAAAAAATTATTTTAATAAATATTTTAGAGAAAATATTTTTTGTATACTAGTATATTTTTAATTAGCCAATCAGATTTTAAAGTTTATTGTTTTGTTTAAATTCGTATAATATAATATAATAATTTTGTATTTTAATTAGCTGATTAGAGAGATATAGTACTATGCAAATATACAAAAAACTAGATTTAATATATTATATATTATTTTTTTTAATATAGTGCGGGTATTCTTAAACAAACAACTTTTTAAAAATGGCCAAATTTGAGACAAAATACTAAATTTTAATTAGTTAATAGCTTAAAATTTTATTAATTTTTTTTAAATTTTATTATATTTTTAAAAATTTTATTATATTTTTATATATATGTAACCAAATTTTTATTTTATTAATAACTTTAAAGGATATAACTCTATTAAATATTAATTAACTAAAAAATAAATTTTGTAACTTTGTTCTTTAGATTTTATTTTATTATTTTATAAAAAGATTTAATTAATAGAAAATAACGAATAAACACCACAGATGATGATCACTTGTGATTTATAATATATAATTTTATATAATATAAATAAATAAACAATTTAATAAATAAAAAAATATTTTTTTTAAAACTTTAAAGTAAGAGTCAAAGCTCATATTAGAGTTAGAGTTTAGTAAGGTTTATAGTAAAATTTTACAAGGAATTTTTTACTTAGAGCCTCAAAAATGATTTTATAAGCAAAATATTAAAATAATTTTACTATAGGTGATAATTACATGTGGTGTAAATTAGAAATTTTCTAATTAATAACTATTTTAGTTTTTATTTATAAATTATATATTTTATATTAGTCAATCGATTTGTCACATCTAAATTTTTTATATATAAAATTATAGCAAAAAACATATAGAATTATATATAAACTTTGTTGCGATGATGTTTCT